TATTCCCACAGAGAAAAACTGAAAAATCAGTTCTTCTACAGCACTGTTTAAGAGCAAGTATTATGAAGCAACCTTTAATTAGAAGATCGTTTGCTATGTTTTTCCTCGGGACACCAATTCAATTCAATAAAAACATGCTGACATAAATATTCTTAGGTGCCAACAACTTTGCGTAACTTCAGTACTTGACTGCACTCCGAAGCAGAGACAGCCAGGTCAGTTTTGAAGCTGAAATCCTGCAGCAATCAACCAAAGGTTTTTGCGGGAGTTCAGGAGATTTCCAAGGGTAGTTCAATTTATACCAGGCAAACTAAGAGAAAAGGGGATAATCAATAGTTTAAAAGCCTACGCAGAAAATAGTTGTAGCTTTTATGTCAAGATAAAAACAGATTTGAGAAGTTTTCATATGTAAGCTAAACTGGTTTTAATTCCAGGAGCAAGGAGATACTCAAAACTGTTCCTAGAATATTAAATTATTTGGCAGATAGCAAATACACTTCTACCTCACCAAATCCTCTACTCACCAATGAGAGTGGCACTGAAGGTTGTGATGATGCTTCCACAGAAAAGGCAAGTTTCATCACCACAGCGGTAAAACCAACTCTGGGACTTGGAAGAAGTTTATTCCACTATGAAATTTCTACCTTGCTTTTTATTAGAACAAACAGAAGTCACCACCTCAATCAGGAATCAGTACTGCATCACCAAAATGTATCACAGGACTCTCCCCAGCAAAATCTCAAACTAAATTATTTTTAATGAACACACACTATTATTAGTGCAACTGCAGTCTCCATCAGAGATGCAGAAGGAGAGGAGAAAGTAAGGAGGAAAAGCCAAAATTCAAAAAGACCCACCATCTTGAAGGGCACTGAAACACCAGTTACCACTGGTCTCAAACTGGCACTAACCAGAGAGTGCCTAGAAGTTCCAAGTAATCTTTGGTGTTAAGTATTCCATGGATTCCCTGTCCTGGAAATCATCTATTCCCCCTTCTCACATAAAATCTTAATGAAAAGATCTATATACCTCACATAGGTGCAAAAAGAGGGCCTTCTTTCACACTCATTGAGCAATATTTGGCTTCACGGTTCACATATTTTTTGTTAATATTGTAAACTGTTTTATAACTTTCCACATTAGTGTTATTTTCAAAGAATAACCAAAATTCTAAATCTATTCCTAAAATTGCCTTTTAACGTAATAACATTAATATTAAACTAGTCTAGCAGCTAATATAGGCAGACAGTATATTGTAATGCCAACAACCTAAGAATATATTCCAAAAAGAAGTTGTTAATATGTCCCATAACAATTTTTGTTGGATTCTGAATTTAAATATAGGCAGGTTTCTGAATATGAAGTGTTCAGCCAAATATAAATTAAATACTTTTCCTAAACTAGAAACTTTCCAAACACAAAATGTACAGGACTCTCCCTGAAAAGGCGGTTCATCCACCATACACAGATATATTAGCTTGCACAGATTAAAAGTTAAATTTAATTTTTAGATGCAAAAAAATTCCTGGATGTTTGCCAGTTTAAAGCCCAAAGCAGACTTGTTACTAACCCTGATAAAAAGCCTTGTGTATAGAACAGAATTTCATTCTACCTTTACTTAAAGAACTGCTTGGCTCCATAATGTCTGTATGATATATTAAAAAGTCTGAAGAAGAGGAAGAAGAAAAAGTTTGAGGTCTTTCAAACAGCATTCTCCAAACTTCCTCTCAAATGCTTGCATCAGTTTTACCCTACTTGGTATCTTCTGTTGTTAAAACTGACTCAGATAATTCTCCTCCCACAGAATCAGTATAGAAATAAAAAAAAATTTAAAAAAAGAAAAAAGGCTTCTCATCTACATCAAAATACATTCTGTGTAAAGTATTCTTCAGTTTATGTCCTGCAGGAATCAAATACAAAATGCTTTTGATTGAAGTGACTGAGCTTTACTGCCTAATAACTGTGAATAGAAAGACCTTCTTAGCCAGATAGTCACATGAACACACAAGATAAAATACTAGTGCTAAAGAAGGACCTGAATTAAAAGCCATCAGCATCAGACTGAGTTTTTACATTTACTAGAAGCTTCAGAGAAGGTCTTATGTCTCCCCAGGAATATTATACTAAGCCTACACAAACATGATGCCAGAGAGAGAAGATAAAGGCAGAACAGGGAAACACCTATGGCAAGTAACAAGGAAAAGAGGAGGATAAAAATCCATTAAATTATTAGCAGTATGAACAGAAATCCATCTCCTTCCTATTCAACTGCAATTCCCATGATAGACTTTACACCTTAAGGTGGTGGAAACCTGAACTGTCCTTAATGCATCTTTCCTTCCCTAGACTCCTTCAGTTAAAAAACAAAGTTTCATGGGTGATTAAGGCCATCAAACCCAAGTGTACACCAAACCATGCACTCTGACCCAAACAGACTTAAATGAACTGAGAGGTAGCTATTATTCAGAACTGAACTGCAAGCAGCCATTGTGATTTTGCTTTTGATTCTTCATGATGTAATGATGGTATTAAAAAAATCCATAATTTTAAACAAAGAATAAGTAAGTATATAATGTTCTTAGCACTCTCTCTGCAGCAACAAGATTTTCAGAGCAAATGCATGGTGGAATATATGCTATATCTAAGCATTAGGGCTGAAATAATTCATTGTAGCGGACAAATCAAGTTCCTAATCAGACCAGGTAATGCCTGGTACAAATCTAGTAAATAGCTCAATCTTTCTTGGCATGATTCCAATTTTTACATTATTATAATTCACCCAATTCATGTCAGCAATTATAACAAGGGCAGAGACTACTACGTATTGTTACGAGTCCTATTATTTTACAAAACAAAGTGAAATAAATTTTATGGTTTTCCACAGTAGCATTACAGAGATCTCACAAAAAAGCTCTCCTTACACTCTTTTGAACTAAAGCCAAAAATGATTATGCGGTTTTATTATTCTACCTGGAAAGCAGCCACAGCTTGCTCGGTGTCACTTCTGCAAGTATTGCTCTCAAGAACAGAAAAGTCTGACTAGATGGTTGATCAACATTGAAGTCATACATTTGCAGTAGATAGAAATGACAGATCTGAGGTAGCAGTTTAACTAATTTTGTTAATGAAAATGTTGTGCCACCTGCCAGAGAAATGGAGAATTGCTGCTTGTTTAGAATGCCATGAATGCTTTTTTTTTACTTATTAGATTAGGATTAGCATCCTGTACACACTGTTTTAAAAGCAGGCTTTATTCATATGCAATGTGCTCTCATTGAATCTCAGACAATCAGCTGGTGGGAATATTTTTGCACTATTTCTACTGCAAAGGTGAGTTCCAGTTAAAAGGTATGCTTAGCAATGAAATGTGAATAAAACTGAGATTTTTAAAAGCTTCACCTGTTAAATTAAGCAAGACCTCAAAAAATTAAGGAGAAATGTGGAAAAGGTACCAAACAGCTTTAAAGCAGAAGATGTTTTTGCCATTAAAAAAAGCACTTCCATACCATTATCCCATCTCCAGTGGAAATCTCAGTCCTAGACCTCTTTACAAATCATGTACAAACAGCAGCTCTACTTAACTCATTACTATCATTAGTTTTTTAGTTATGATGGTGCATAAACCCTCGCTCTTCAGCTCAGTTTCCCCTGGGCTGAAGCCTGCAACAGAAGCTTGCTAAAAACTACAATGCTTTCCCTCCCAAATGGAAATTCCAATATTTTAATATTTAGAATCACTGAGAGACACCATTTCCCATCATTTAATTGTGCACTTAAAAATATGTTTTCATAAAGGTGCATGCAGTGAACTGTACCTCATTTTCGCCACAGTCAGAAGGTGTATCCTTGTGTATAGCCATCTGATACTTGGCAAATAAAGTGGCTGACTGGTTGAAGGATGATTTGAACTGGGGGTCCTCAAAGGAGACAGGTACCAACCTCACCTTCAGAGCAAGGAAAATACAAGCATACTATTTTGAGTGCATATAATCAGATAATATGCTTCTGAAGGTAAGGCTAGTGAAAGATCTCCTCCTATGCACTTCAAAGCCTCTGAAGTCAGTTTTCTACTTTAAACATAGTAACAAGAAAATGCTCCTACAGGGGAAAATCTGACAACTAACACTAAGCTTAAATTGACTGTTGATATTTTCCTTAAAGAATAAAAATTGTGTAACACTAGAACACTCAAAAGCACCAGTTTAGTCAATCTATTTTTTGACCAAGTTATTTACCAAGTCAACCACAAATTTTATTTTTGTTGTACAGTCTCAGGGACTTTTAAAATGTATTATTTTTAATGGCACATCACTCATTGCCCCAGTTTAGCAGTTACATATTCTTGCTACATATACTTTTTCTCCAAACTCCTGAATTTTTTTCTTCATAGTACTAGAGAGGCAATATGTCTGTCTAACAGCTAACTATTACACACCGCCTGGTCATTACAAGAAGCAGTAATGATGTGTAATTTAAATGGAGTGCACAGATTACTTCTTGAAGGGCTTAAATTGAAAGTGAAGAGGTTTATGCAACTTCTGTGAACCTTAAACCACTAATTTGTATGTGTGATAAATTTTTACTTGTATGTTGGCCCTGATCATGCTAGCTCCTCCTTATGGAAGCATTCAAACCAAAGCCAGTGAGACCAGTTATCAGGCTAAGTGTCCAGTTGTTTTTTTTGTTCTTATGAGATTTGTATTTATAAGGCCCACAAAATCTATCTCCAAAAGCTTCATCTTCTCCATCTCTTACCCAATAGCATACCCATTTAACTTCCCTAACTTTTCTGTCTGCAATTAAGACCAAATATTTGTGGCACTTCCAAAGAGATATCAAAAGAGCTTGCACTTTCAGGATGTCGATTTTATTTGATATAGTATTTTACATGCTCCTGAATAAACAATGGATATAAAATCCACATTTGTTTCTTTTAGAAACAAGACACATGAAATCGAGGGGAAGCTGAGCTATGCATAAAATTCATTTGGCCTTCTGACCTGATTTATAGTTGGTTTATCAGGTGGGTCCTTGTGAATAACCATCTGGTAACGTTTATAGACCTGGTAAGACTCCTGAAATGTGGCTTTGAACTGTGAACTTGGTGGAGATGATCTCACCACCCTCACCTTCGGAAGAAGTTAAACACATTTATTATTACAATATCATGCAATAACTATATACATATACAAACATCACAACAGAGAAAAATTTTGACTTCCTGCACAAGGGCCCTAACAATTTAATTAATAATAGACAATTCTTCAGCTCAGTTTAGGCTATTGAAGGCTTCTATATTTACACTGAGTAATATACAATGTTTTCAAATTACAAATTAAGATAACTAAAATGCCTACAGGAGAACTACACAAATAGTTTTCAGGAAATAATAGCAACAAATGGTATGCAGATCAGCATTTTCAAGAGATTTTTCCGTACTTTTAAAAAATCTTCCCTTGTAGTTTCACACTATACTGAAAAATACTTGACCCATGCATTTGGAAGACTCATATCTGTGCTCTTTAGATAAAGACTATGTTTTTATTGCAATAATCCCAAGGGGATTTCTAGGTATTTTTCAAATTGAAAGAGGAAGAGGAAACAATGTTTCCATATTCAATTATGAGTCAATTATAATAGGAAGTTATCCATCTTCCCCACCAACATCCTTAAACACACAAAAATAAAATAACTTTAAAAAAAATAAATCAATAAATTAAAAATTGTTCTTAGTAAAAACAATTGCTTCCTAACCAAAATAATGATATCACATGAGTAACAGTGCATTTCTTTCAGACATATTTAAGGACAGTTTCATTTCAAAAACCACATAATTTTCAGTATGGTTCTACTTTCATAAATAGCATTGGTTCTGATCTATTAAAAAAAAAAAACCCAACCAAACAAGCCACACTTCACAGACATAGTAAGGAGCAAAGAGCACAAAGACAATCTGGGAAAACACTGCTGGAACCATCCTCCTAATTCTCCCTGCATCTTCTAAATGAAGATGTTCAAACAGAGCCATCATACTTCTGTTATACAACTCAACAGAAAATCTGGAGGAGTTAGTGAGATGGATCTATTTCATGGCTTCTTGTCAGTTACTCAGGGTGAATCTTTTAAGCCATCATCACTACCTCTTTGAATAATTACCAAAAGAATATTAAATATTTAATTTTCAATACCATCATTGATAATCAGTAACTAGAGGCAAATACTTGTATTCAAATAGTTTTCCAGCTTCCAGAAAAAAAAAAAAAAGAAAAAAAATGGTTTTAAGATTAACAAATGTTAGAAAGTCCAAAAGTCTTCCAGATGACTGTCTCTGTATTACTAATAGATTTAATGGCAACCAGTATAGTAAGCAAAATTCTCTACCATCACTTTTACAGCTTCCAAAGACATCAACACATATCACTGATGTTTATAAAAAGCAGCTATCTTCTTATCTGTCTAATTTTACGAACAGTTACTGCTTTCTTGTCAAGATTCATTAGCATAGATAGTTTAAGTATTTATATACTGCAGAACTAAATATTGAACCTCTCTCATCATTCAACACTCAGTTAATTCAAAGTCTTTCATTTTCAAGTAACACTGGATGAAATCAATTTGCAAGTTATTTTGGTAACTGTACTGACTGCAAGTGCAAGAGTACCCTCTTGTGGTTACACAGAGCTTAGCTGCACCATATACATCTCGCACAGTACTACATGCATTTCAAGATTTAAACTACAACCATTCCATAAAGTCACAGATATTAAATACCTAAGCATTTCAAAAACTCCTTAACTAGACCTTTCCTTAATTTGCCTCCAACAACAGTGAACGACGCATTACCTCTAATTTGTGTTGTGCATCATCAGGTAAAGGGACAAAAACGAAGTCTTCAATGGTTTTAGGTTGGTTTGTTTTAGATTTAGAGTTTTGCAAGAGGAAAACTTGATCTTCTGCTTGAAGTTCAGAGCCTTCAAACGCGCACGTCTGGTTCTGAAGGAGTTTCTGCAGTTTTCTTTCTTTCCGTATGTCCTTTGCTTTTCGACACGGTGGCTTGCTCAGATCAGCCCCTTTCCCTACAAGGGCACGGGTAAAGAATTAACCACCACATTTTGCAACAAACAAGTAGTTCTTACATAATCACTGAAAAGAAATGGTTAAAATCACCAATAATTGCAGACTGCAGCCTGAACATAACATGGTATTTCACGTTTACAACTACCAACGGCGCCCCTAAGTTGCAATGATTCTTCCTCTATAGCTGTTTAATGCAGCACTTTAATATGGAAACACCTTGACCACGATTCCACCCCAGAGCCAAGGATATATTTAAAAACTAAAATGAAAAGACTTCCTGCTAAGGCTGTCCTTCAATCATTTTGCCACATCCCCCTCTCAGAAACAAAGAAAAGCTCCTGTTTAATGTACAGTACGACGGTGTACTACATCCAAACAGCTACAGGATCAGCTTGAAATACTGAAAGGAAAAAAATACAACCCACAAAACCTTGCAGCCAAATTTGCAGAGAATTGTTTTACCACATTAAAAACCCAGGTGGCTACACAACAGACTCCTGTACAAGACATACACACACACAAAAAAGCATTTATTTCTTGTCACCTGGAATATTATGCAGTATATAGAAATGCTGCCAATGCCAGCACCATTAGTGCCAATGCTACTAATGTCATGTAAAAGAAGAGTTAAGGCCACATGAGCTTACATCTTTGCTTAAAATTATATTCAGATTGTCTGTTTTTACTAATCAATTCACTTTTATCCATTTACTTCTACCTGTAATGGATCAACCATTTATAACATTCTATTTGTGAAACGTTATTTACTTAACAAAGAAGTCAAACCTAGAAAACAAACAGATCAGCATAGAAAATAGTACATAGTCTCAAAGCAACACAAATCCAAAGACATGCATAAATAAAAATTCAAGTGGTCCGAATTCCTCAATGAAGGGGCCAGGTTAATTTCATACTTAGGACACTAAAGAGAAAAATTCAAGATACAAGAATGGCAGTACTAGAAAAATTAATACAGAATTTTCTTCAAAGAAAAAAAAAAAAAAAAAGACGGCTGGTCCCCATGCTACCCACCAAAGGCACTGAAAGGATGGTTACCCATCTACTTACAAGTAGCAATTTCCCTAGACAGTACGATTTTCATAGATACTGATTGTAAAAATCGCAAAAGAAAACTTCCTAACACTCTCAGTTCTGCCTAAAATTTGTACATCATTGTTGGCTATTCCATGCAGTGCACACAAATAACTGCACACCATGCCTCACTCCAGAAGCTGTGCAAGAGCTATACGAATCTGCTGCATTGCTGGAAACAGTGGTGGAAGAAATAATCACTTTTCAAGGAATACCTGTCTCAGTTTAGCAGCTGCTGTTGCAAGTTTCATACAGAGGGAAAGTTGCACTCAAAATTGCATCACCAGCCAGCTAATGTAATACAAAGTAACTTTTTTTTTAATTTATTTTTTTAATTTTTTTATTACTTTTTAGGGCAGTGGTAGATGAGTTGGAGGCCAAAAAAAGAGCCATAAAACTAAAAATTTCAAAAAGAGAGGAAGAGTGGAAAAACCTACTTCCATATAGGTGAAATACAGTCATATATCCTCCACAGAACCAAAACTGTAACAAGTATTATGACAAACTGCTGAAGAAGTCTTTCACACCATTAGCTTTCTCCTGAAACCCATGTATTTGCAAAAGACACACTGGCAACTTTTGAAAGACTGATCTTTTCAAAAGGGAAAGTACCCTTAAGAGTGAGGTGCTTTCATTTGAAGCATTAGAAAGAAGACACATTTCCAACTCTGTTAATATTTAAAGAAGAAAAGAAGAATCCAAACCCAGACTTAACTACAGCTTATCCTACTTTACTCTCTTGAATACCTGGAAATTACATGGAAATTGTTTTTTACAGAACTCCTATGAAAACGCAGTTTGAGCTTTCTTTCCTCCTCCTCACCAATAACTTATTAGCCAAAGCTGACATCTTTCTTGTCCTCTACCTGCTTCTTGTCCTCTACCCAAACCTTCCCATGGACAATGAGAACAGTGGTATCCTTCTGCAAACTAGAAATGGTAAAAGCACTGATTATTTTAAAAGCTCACTGATGTGTTTAGAGTCACTGCCTGCATCTTATTTTACCAATAGATACATCACAGAAATTGGCAAAATACTCTATATTGGGATAAACTTTTAAGTATCAGTAAGGCTGTAAACTATTCTTTTTAATGTGCATACCATACAGAATTTAGACAGTTTATAAGTGCACTCCTGGGGCAAGTTAGCAGCGAGCTCTTCATGGCTCAGCCATAAAAGTCCCAGTCTGGTTTCTCCACATAGACTCCATGACAGCTGAAATGTTGAGAGCATGTCAGGGACTTAGAGAAGAGCTAATACCACTTTGGCACTCTTCAGACATCCTGCAATCACACTAGCGTTTTTTATGATCAAGTGTTCTTACCTCTCAGCTAAGGCTTTTGAGTATTTGTTTCATCCACACAGCTAAAATTATTCACTAGAAAAGGACAAATATTATGAGGAAATTACAGATACTATGTGACCTGTCCACGGGCAAAGTAGTCAGAGGAAAAGTTTATTTAAAACATTCATGATACATTTGAAGAATGAGTACTTCATCTGTATCAGGATCTGTTTCATGTCTCGTATCTTCTATGAGCTGTAAGTTAGCAAGAAATACTTCTTAAAACAATGAACGTGCATACAGACATAAGCAAACCTTCTTTTCTATCTGAAACTGTGCAGAAACAGCCCATTATTTCTATAGGACAATGACCCTTCTGTTTATCAAGGAATAAAAATGCAATTAAACAATCTTATTACAGCATAAGTCTACATTTTCCAAGATGAAAACTAAACATTTTTCTATCTGGAAAATTTTAAACTGAATTTGACCTGTGACACCACCTACTCTTAAAATAAAAAAAAGATTAATTAAATAAGCTGATGCATTTACTATTCACTTCTATATTTCATTTAAAACCTCCAGAAAGAAAGAAGCACACTGATGCGTATTTCTCCTCTATAAAAGTAAACCCCCATTTTCTGAAAGAGTACAAACAATGTTTCAGGCTTTCTTTATTTGTATTTCCAGTGTTTCAAGTTTTACCCAATGTTATTCTTAAAGTAACTAAAGGCCATACCTCACCTTTTTCAAAACAATGGCTGGTTTACACTAATAATTTACCCAAGACTGCCATCTGCTGTCAATATCCACTTACTTTGCTTCCAAAATGAAGTTTTACATAACCCAAAGTTTGTCATCAGTTACTTAAAAAACAAGAGGGTTTTGAAAATTTGCACAACAAATAAAAGTTATATGAACTACATAAGGGCTATAAAAGCTTCGAGTGCATTTTATAAAATCAAAATATAAAATACAGTCTTAAAAATTCTGGAATACGTTTCCAGGAATGTGTAACAGTACTGCTTCTATGCAGCACTACTGGTTTTCTGATCAAGCATTTCTGAAAACTTTCCTTTTTGTTTAGATGCAAAATTGCTTGTTAAGCTGCTGAAAACCTGATCTAATTGGAATGAGTGTTCATTAAGGAAAAAACAACATTATTTTACTTGAAATTAGCCACTCTACAGAAGGAGACAAAAATCTTTGAAGAAAAAAGTACTCTGAAGTTCTCATAAATACTGGCACAACACATAATAGGTAAGTGAAATTAGGAATTAGTATGACAGCCCAACACATGCAGAAACTCTAAAGCATCCAGTCTCCACTGAGATTTTAACTAACATTACTCACCATGAATTGGCTAACTGCAATTCAGAAAATGCCCTTTATTTTTCTGAAAAGGCCATTGTAGAGGCTATGCAAAACTGGAAACATGAAGTTAAGACAAGGCTGCCTCATCGGCAATCTCTGAGCCACAAAGAGCCTGTCAGCAATTCTGCCCCTCTTTTCCAGCGCAGACTGTTAGTCAAATGAATTATTCCGTCAATAATCCATCCACCCCTTACCATCTTCCTTCCAGAAATCACCCACATCCCACAAGAACACAGCCAGCACAAAAGAGAAGCTGTAGGAGAGGCAACCCGCAGCACTCTGCAGCCATGTCCTGGTAGCAGTAGTTCCCAGCACTACTTATTTTCCTCAGGGACCCTTAATGACTCCTCTGCATGTGCAACAGGTACGATCACACCACGCAGAGGATCACCTGCCAGCTGTGACATACGGTCTTCCCTGTCACAACAGCCTGTGAAAAGCTTAACACCACTGCAAGAAGATGTAGATTCCAGGCTCTCGGGCCACACCAAGGGGTACCATAACAGCTACCACATGAAAGAGAATAGAGTCAGATGACCAACAATGAGATTATCCTTTTTTAGGGTAAAGATTTCACATTCAAATTCAGCCCAAAGGCAGCATTTCAGAAATCTTTACAATTGTGATACAAAAGCTTGACTTAGGGATAACTTCCATATTGAAAAAAGTGACCATACTATTAAAATTAGTATTATACTAAAAATTATTAATATTATTATATTAAAATTGCCACCAATATTCCATGTACTTTCACACAAAACTCTAGACATGAATAAGAATTTACCTTCAGTTTTTGGCACATGAGAGCTGTAGCATCAGAAGTAACATGAGGGAGATTGCCTTACTTCTTGTACATACTTACTGCACTTCCTTACAGAAATGTAATATTAAGTTCACAGCAAGACAAAAAAGAGAAATTACTACATAATTTCACATCCTCTAGTGACACTGCTTTTCTAATCTGAAGTTAGCCAAAATCTAAAACACAGAAAGCTCCCAAACAGATGAAAAGCTCACCTACAAAATGTCATTCTTTATAGACGACTAGAAGAATTGGTACTTTTTTTCTTTTTAAATCATCAGAAAGTTATACAATTTTCTTTAAGCCTACAGAATAACGACACAACAATATACTGAACGTATTTCCAATGCCAGTTAGACCTGTGGCAAACAGTCTACAAAAGCATAAAAATACAGTCTTAAGCAAGTTATTTACAGGGGTGTATTCACAAGGTGTAAACAACGTCAGTTGTGTTACAAGATGACCTGCAGAAACGAAGAAATGTAAAAACAATACCTAGGGTGTTTTTCTTGGGTCTTAAACTGGTTTCCCACTGCCGCACAAGAGATGAGGTTAAGCCTTAACCTAACTCGGTAACTAGCACTCCTGCAGCACCAGCCAGAGCTGTACCCAGCTCTTAGTCTTGCAGAACCAGGGAGTCCAACTCCCTGAGCTGGACTCAATGATCCTTATGAACCATACGTCAAGCTACATAAAGCCTGAGTCACCACATCCTATAGAAGAAAGGGAAAACTGGATGTACATTTTATTCTGCACACAAAAGTACCCTGGAACTGGAAACTGGTCCCAATGTCTGATGAGATTCAACTACCTTGACCTATCTGACTGCAATCTAAATAGCTTACAGAAAACTATCAGCTGTAGATATGTATTCTTAATAACCAAACTAAAAAAAATTAATATAATGAAAATCAATGCAGCTTTCAGGAAAAAATAAGAAAACAATTAACACGCAGAACCTCTTAATTTATACACTGTAATTCCATAAATTGGGAAGAGTATAGGGAATAAAAAGAAACAATTACTGATTTACCAGCCAAGATAAAAAGGAGGACTTCAACATCATGTGAAAACATGACAGTATATTCCAATTACAACCAGAAATTTACCTGGCTTAGGTGGTGCATGAACAATTTTAGCTGAATGCGATGGTTCTCCAGGGACTGTTGTGTCTTTATGTGCACAGATCTGAAGTGAACCCGATTCCACCTGCTGCGCATTCACCTCTTCTTTTGTTTCTCCTATGTCCTTATCTTCATTCTCCACCCTCTCTGTGTGATCCACACTCAAGGGAGTCAGTTCAGACTGACTGACATGAGATTCACTTTTGTATGCAAAATCGCACGTGACCACATCCTCTATGTGGGAATCCATAGGCTCTTCTGTAAATAATTAAAAAACTGCATGAGTGAATTTCTCTCTGTGTAACTGCAGCTCACACTTTGCACTATTAACATTAATATTAAATTAACTCATTTCCATTTTTACAACTGTTTCCCAATAGATAAAGTGACTGTTTGCAATAGTCTGAAAACAGAAAGCTTCCTCTGTGACCCTGAATTACTAGCACCAACTTATTCATGAGAACAGTTTTATTTTCTCCACTAAAATGGGGGAGTCAACTGTTCTCATGCCATAACTTCAAACGAACAACAAAAAAAAGATCCAAAAAACCTAACACACAAGAGGCAAATTATAGTGATTCAGAACCAAAACAAGTTCCACCACAACAGAGAATAGCTAGTTTTGGTGTTGGATAAATGGGGTGTGACTGTTCAATCACCTGGAAGAAAAACTCCTTTCCTTGCTTGCTCTTCTTCTTCCCTGCCACCCACTCTCCTGCTTAGTCCTCTCTAGATTATCACTTTTATGACAGAGGTAAAACCAGGGTCTAATTCTCGATGGCACCCAGCTAGAAAGTAAGCATGTGCCCAGAGACGAAAAAGAAAATAAGTTGCTCTATGCAAAAAGTAAGGAAACATATTCTTCAATAGAGCAAGCCAGCTGCACAATTTGGTCTCTGGGTTACATAGCGCTCTTGACTCAAAACACGCTTTAAAGACACAACCTAGCCAGACCTTTATAAAGGGGTCTATATACAAAAATCAAAGCGTATTAGCCATTTGATCACTCAAGCAGGTACTTGATCCTCCTTTCAAACATCAGCATTGGTTTTCAAACACAACAAATTTCTAACCTTCACTCACTCCCTTCGAAACATCTCCTTTGGAAATAAATTTCAACATTTTCTTCAGAACTTTCTTGTGAGATTTGGAGGTCTGAAAACGCAAAGCCTGGCACCTTAAAAACAAAAAATTATGATCATTTCCTTTGTGAAAGGTTATTTCAGAAAAAAATGTTAAGGAACCACTTTAAAAAATTACACTGTATATGTATTTTCTAATTATTTCTTAAGCTTCCCTATATTAAGTGGTCAATTATTTTATTAACACTTTTGAGTTAATAAAATTATCTTGCCTTGTACTGCATAGTATCATTCTTTATGGCATGTTTTGTGTGTATATCACTATAATCACTAAAATACGTCAAGGTGACCTCAAGCACTGCATAAAAAAGCTTTCTTAGGAAGCTAATACACTAGAATTTTTCATTTATCCATCCTACAGATACAGCATTGGTACTAACTACTAATGCCAGAAAAGCATATCTAGAATTATTCATACCTATTCAACTGACAGCCGCTCTTACGTGGGCTACTAAAGCAGTGATTGTGGGATGCAGACATACTGGGTCACCTGCAACCCATGAGCAAGAGATCAATCATAGGACTCTTGCTTTGGATTGCAACCCAGAAGTAAAAGGCAAGGGTACACACTTAGATTGCTTACAGGAAAACACCACAGAGCTGCTGATGTGCCTATGCACAAACCCAGCGGCATATACTTGGAATTCAAAGTATCATTAAAAGTAGATAAACTTTTCAAATATTACATATTTAAAACAGTAAACACAAATGGTTGAACATAACTGAAGCAGTCAAATCACTTACAGTAGTATATTTTGAGCTTCTTACCTTATTGTGTATTGAGGACAACACGTTTGATTCATGATAGGTTTGTAGACATATTTTCCACTTCTAAAAATAATAATAAACACGTATTGATTTTTTGTTGCTTATACTACAAAATAAATGGAAGACCAACCTTTTTTGTTAAAATAATACCAAAATATTACATGAGCAACAAAAGTCAAGAAGCAAGTTCTTCAGTTTTTTTACTGCTGTACTAAAATACTATCCTTCCAAAACAACTGAATATTTTCCTGTTCGACAAGTGTCACGTTACAAAAAGTCGCAGAGCATCAGAAAAATAGTTTTATTTCAATTACTTATGGAAACTAGTTAACTGTTTTCACAGGCCTAAATCTTAAATCTGGATTCTAAATTGTATCTAAACTGACAACACGGCTTTGTATTTTCTTTTTAAATTTACCTTCGCCATCCTCTGTCTATCAGATCCTGGTAATCTTGAACTGTCATTGAATGTGCCCACATACCTGAAATAAATAATACAGTAACACACTTGACTGACCAGTTATGCTTTAAAATACAACAAGCTTTACAGAAGTATAAGTGTAAATATGAGTCGCTAATGGTGACTTTCGAATAGATGCCTTTCAAGGATTTAGCATATTCATAAATCTGATAAATTACAGATTTCAACATCCACACTAAGTGTAAAAAAGCAAACCCAACATAAATCTTGGGATGCAATCGACTATATTGCTCTGACGGTACAAGTAAAAGTTTACCTCCCCACCTGCTATCTTTCCCAGAGACACACCAACAAAATAACATAAAACTGCTCCTTAGTTCTCTTAAAATCAGTCAGGAACACCAGGACAGAAGAACTCTTCCGAGAGGCGCTGAAGCTGACGCAGACCGTTCCCAGGGACCCCTCGGAGAGCAACTGCCCGGGCCGCCCCCGAGCCGAGCAGGGCAGGGCACAGGGACCGTCACCTCTTCACCGGGTAAAAGAATCAGAATCCGCTTGCCCTTGAGCTGGCCTAAGCGAAACTTGTCCAGCCACAGCTTTAGAGCCGTCGAGCCCCGCCGGGCAGGCACGCTCTGCTCTCACCTACGGCTTAACCCGGACTGTCGCCGAGCTGGAGGGTCAGGCAGGGCAGCAGCAGCTGAGAAGCAAAACTGTACCGAGAGAACACTTCGGGCCAGATCCTGACCGCGTCCTTAGGTTGGGTGCGGATATTACGACAGTAATAATTAAAGCATTTCATCCTCCACGCAGCTCTCCCGTTATTCCTGATGGTTTGCCCTTAGACTGAAGGAGTGCTCCTACAAAACCCTGAGGCGAGGTCTCCCGGTGAGCCCACGGCCTCCGGCCCCACACCGACCCCGTCTCGCTTCGCAGGCCGCCCCCCCCCCGCTCCCGGCCAGCCCAGGGTAAGGGGTTTCGGGCACTTTCCGCAGGGAAGGGCAGCTGCCCGCTCCCGGCAGGACGGAGGCGGGAAGGGCGAAGGCTGCTGCCAAACCGCCGCCTTTAACCCGCCGCTCCCAGGCCTCCCTCAGCCCCGCCGGCACCGGCTGGGAGCAGCCCCGTAGCCTGCGGCCGCACCGGCGCGGCCCGGCCCGCTCACGGTTCCCCTCGCAGCCCGCCCTGCCCGCGGGCCGCACCATGAGAGAGGTTGCCGGTCTCGTTCTTGCAGTAGCCGCAGCGGTAGCCATCCTCTCCGCCGAAGTACTCGACGATGCTGGCAGAGCTGCCGGCCGCCGCCATCTCCCCCCGGTGACCCCCTTCGCCCTGCCGCGCCGCCCGCCTCAGGACGGCACCCTGCCCGCCGCGCCGGGACGGCCGGAAACAACCGCCGCCATCTTCGCTACGGGCAGCGCCCACAGGAAACGGCCGCCCCGCCATCTTTACCCCGGCAAGCTCCCCCATCTTTACTGAGGGCGGCCGCGCTCCCCCGGCCCCCGGCTCCCACCACAGGACCCCGGGCAGGCCCCCTCCTCACCACCTCCTCCCGCTTACCGGCGGAGACCTTCCCCCGCTCCGAGGCGCAGTAGCCGCAGCGGTAGCCCTCCTTCCAGCCGCTGTACTCCACCACGGCGGCGGGCATGGCGCCCGGCGGTCCCGCTGGCCGGCAGCGGCCCTGCCCGTCAGCGCCCCGCCCGGGCCGAAGCGGCGGAGGTTGCCGCCTTCAGAGGTGCGGGCCGGGCCCCCGCCTGCTGCTGGAGACGGGCACAGAGCTCTCGGTGCTCTTGCAGATAACCAAAGAGGATCCAGCTCTGTTTTCGCGTACCCTCAGAGCCTGACCGCGTTTCATCACCCCCCAGAAACGTGCTCTAACGGGGGTGGTAGCAGCAGGACAGAACATCGCTCGGTCCCTACCACCTCAGCTGCTTCATTAGAAACCCTGCCTAATGATAAAAGGAAGGATGAAATCCTAAAAACCTCCAGAGGCAGTGGTGCTCCAAAGAGCATCTTCTGGAGATGGAGCTAGACTTCATTTATTTTGAAGAAAATAATGTCATGGCCTAATAAAGCTGTCCTGCCCAAGTTACGAAACCAAAAACACTTAGGAAAAAAGGAAGGAGGAATTTTTATCTGTAATTCAGATCAAATTTCCAAACTCGAACCTTGATTTCCAGAAGAGTAAGAACAGGAAGACAATATCAATTTTTCCTGCAGCACCCAAGACCATCTAGATAACAAGATTGTCACAGCAGAGATGGTTAACCATGTAAATCGCACTTGCAGGCTGCTATTGGGGAGAGACAAGGGATGACAGAAGGGGGATAGCAGGTGCTTTTTATGAAAGCTTATATAAAGTTTACTGACACTTAGAAAGTAGTAAACAAAACCATAATAAATAGAAAGTATATGGCAATAACCCTGTGACAGGTATAAACAAGACAGCTTATATAAAGTGTCAAGATATTTTGATAAAAAATAAATTTAATTTTACAATATATACATATAAAAATCTTCTCTGAAGGAAGCATTTTAAAATATTTTCTTTAAGGCACCTAGGGAGAAAGAAAAGAGAAAACACTAAGACAACATGCATTAAGATTTGGAACTTACTAGACAATTGTGACAATAAAAGAATTCAATCCTGTCATTTAAAGGATTTTAGAGGGAACCAGGCTGTCTCCCTTCCCACTTCCCTAAGTCCTTCTTCAGACTACTCTATTAACAACATCAGCTGTCAGCAGGTTAAAAAAAAAAAAAAAAAGTACAAAAACTAAGCTATGATTCTTCACAGCATTGCATTCTGAGTATAAAGTTCCAAAAATTAACTCAAGTATATCACTTAACTGACCATCAAATGTAAAAATAATTTTTTTTCAGTTAATTACCACGTAGAAGACTAGATTACATTTTGTTCCATAAAGAGATCAAGAATACAGAGATGTTCCAGATGTTATACAGTTACCCTGCTTATAGTTTTTCTACACTTTTAAGTCACAGGTAGTTTCCCTGCAGCTCTTCCAGATGCATAAGGAACTCATGCACTGTATCCTTATTTAGTTTGATTTATTAAAAGAACTTACCTGAGGAATTAAGCTATCTCCATTTCTTCTTCATTTCTATGATGAGGAGGGCTAATCATAGGTTCTGTTATTTCATATGTTTCTACAATTTCCTGGTTAGATATGACAAGAGTATGTGAGTTACAAGAGCTGAACTATTTCAATTTAATTGTAGTTACCACCAGGTAAGTAATAAAGTTTCTCATACTAAAGCACTATTTCAAATTACTAAATTTCTTCTGCACATTCTGAGTGAGGGACAAAGAAGAGTGGTATGTGCTAAAAACTACTTTTTGTCTAAGATTTATTACAAACAGCAAACAGTGAGGAAATTGCATGGAGAACTTCCCCTCTAGAAGCAAGTATCATACATTAAGGGAAGAAACAGACTCCGTATTTATGCAGTCCTCATATAAAACAGTAAAGGCAAGTCACTGCACAACTTAAAAGCACTTAAACTGACCAGGCTTCAACGCTCCAAGATGAAATTGCTATCCCAATTCTCAGTTTTCTTGCAGTTAAAAGCATTAATTAGATTTGTGATTGTCCTGGAATCCATAAAATTAAATGTAGTGGTAATATATACAGGAACACCTATCCTTATCAGAGTACATAACAGCACAGCCCTCACATGCATTCTTACACTTTAAAAAAAAAAAAATAAAATCAAAAGTATCAAGTGCTATCTATTATACCTTCCATTCTTGATGGTTCAGAGATATGACAACCTGGTTCCGTGCTCCATTACTACGGTCATCCTCCCCTCCCGCCTTGTCTTTTGAAGGCTCTGTTCGAAACATAGTGTTTTCATAGTCTTTATACTTGTAAAGTCACCTTCCTCCAGGAACACAAAAGCTTCACAAAAAACAGATCAATTATACATGCTCCACTAAGCTATCTATCAGTAGCCTGTACTATACACTTCTTAAGAAATTACTTTAGTCTTACCTCCTAAAATTTTAAAGACTAACTTTTCTCAGAGTCCCAGAAGGACCTAAGTATTTAATCCTTTATGAAATCCCACCAAAGTCTTAATCCCATTGATATCCTGTGGGAATGAAAGCCAAAGACCTTGTACATAGGAAGGCATTTCCTTTTCAACTGTTTTGAAGTTGCAGCACTTCCCAACTCAGATAGACAAAGAAGACTTCTTGCACACAGAAATATCTTCTCTCAGCAAAGTGTAACAATGTTCATATACTTACTAGAGAAAGTATCACTTAAAAGGAAAGGTAATAACCTTTTATTTCTATTAGTAGGATTAATTTGTATAGATCAGCATAATGGCCTTTTTCCATATTTTAATATTTAAAGAGACTCGATCCTTTCAGTTCCTCTCATAGATCTCTTCATGCCTTCAATTACATTCACTGCATATCCCTGAATCTCTACTCTTGCAGCTAAAAATATACCAAAAACTTTGTGAACACGTAAGAGGTAGCTACTTTTCAATGTTGTAACAAAAAATTATTATAGTCTTCCAAAACTAGATTTACCTATTATTGGCAATTTATCGTCATCCAGCTTTAATCTTGCAAAACCATCCTAAAAGACAGTAGGATTTAAAATTTCAGAATTTAGAGCTAATTAGGACAATGCACTGAGATTTCATATTTTTAATTAATATATTACATAATCATAAACAGATACATATATTGATAAAGCATCTTAATTAGCATACCAAATAAGAAAAATTATTTAAATATAGCACTTATGAAGAATGCAGCTGATATATGACAGTTAGTAACTGTTGGATTAAAAAAAATTGTTTTATTAAAAATCATTATTAGTCATTAAATATACTTGAGTTAATGCTTTGTAATCACATCACTATTCATTATAAACCTGAATTTAGTCAAAATATGTTTCTAAGTTTTTCTCTTTTCCCAAATTAATTTTATTTATTAGACAAGCTAAGTATAGCTTGAAATCCAAATCTACAGATTCAAAAAGAACAGAAAACACTGCAGTGACATACTTTCCTACAACCTCAATAACTCTTCTATACTCTATGACTACTCTTCTATAATCTAAAATAAAGTGAGCTAGGATTCCTTTTTGAGAAGTGCATTGACAGCAAAAATTTCATGATTGTTTTGTTGGTAAATTGACTGTAATAGAAAAATCTAATTAAAAATATTAATCTGTCAACTCTGTTTTCTTTTTTATTCAATTACCAAAATATCACAGACTGTTTGTAGAAAAAAAATTAGGATTCCCAGTATTTCAACCCTAATCTGTCAACATCGAAGCCATAAAAACAACAAAACAATATTTCTAGGTAATTCCAGTATCTAAAATAAGATTTCAAGAAATACGTCATGCCTTACCCTTATAATGAAAGACACATGGAAGATGTTTTCCACAGTACGTGCAAAAGAGTTTGGATCAATCACAAGATCAAAGAAGGAAATAGGTGTATCAGCTAGAGATGCAAAAACAAATTTTATTTGTTAATAAAAAAAAAAACACAAACAAAAAGGTGGTAGACAAAGAGCTAATATACCTAAACACAAACTTAAGTCAATACTCCTTTTAAAAGCTAACTGAATGTTTATGTCAATTTAGTTACAATGCTGAATTCCCAGTGGCCTGCAGAAAGAAACAAAGTTTCTAGAGAATGTTATTTTCTGCCATCTTGTGCCACAGGCATACACATACAGAGTGACCACTTGATTGCCTTCTAAACACTGGCATGCTCTACTAAGACGGAGAGGGTAGGATTTCAGTTTACTTTGCAATCAAACAGCAACTGATTAGTGCTCATAAAAAATAACAGTCAGTATATATCCTTCAACACAAAGATTTCTACTTGCGACCCCCACCTAATTTTGTTTCTATAGTTTAATCACTCTTAACTGTAGAAGATTAAGAGTATTCATTTTCTCAAATTAACGCTTTAAAAGCTTAAGCGAATCACACTTACGGTCATTTTTAAAATGAGTTTGCAGTAATCCCAAGATCCTCTCTACTTCTTTTTCTGTAGCTTCCTGATGAGACTCCTCCATTTTTTTTAACTGGAAAAAAGAAACACAGCTTCACCTCAAATAATCACTGTTGTTAAGACAAGAATATGAAAAGGGCCTTTTATGAACACGTAACATGAAAGATAGTTTTTTCTCTCTACGCCACACATGCACAGTTACAGACACGCTTATGCAAACATGAGACAACTTACAAAATGCTTTAGGAATTAATTCCCATCTTACAATATCAAACTGAAAGGCCACAGTTTGTATGTTTTGAGCCTACTTACTGGTCTATGCTTACTTTCCAATAGTTCTGTGGAATTGGGTTACCCCTAGTGATACATAGTCTGTGAGTTTACTGAAGTTTATTTATAAGCATAGAAGGGCAGTTCATCAAGATCCTAACTTTTTTTCAGAAAAGGCACCTAAGTTTACGTGTAAGAAACATCATGGCCTGAAGTTTGACATGGTCAAAGGACACAATTATTGTGATTTTACAGATTTGTTCATTATCTGTAAAGCAGGGTACTACTCCAAATCGTCCTTCAAGCACTGTAATCAACAGAGTACCAAATTCACTTTTCAAGTACAGTCTTCAGTAACGTGTCTGCTGTTCCTGTTAGCTAACACTTTCCCTTTGACCACCTTGCAATAAAGCAAGCTACAGAAACTTTCACACACAACTGTATCTCTAACACAGAATGACATGTATGCTGATCATCAGTGTTTACCTAAGCAAACCACAAAAAGCAGTCACTCACTTCTGGTAGCAACTCTCTCAAACCCTTCAGCTCCTCTTCTTCCCAGTACAAACTGTATCAGAATAATTTCTATCACTATTTGGATTATTGTGAAGTAGGCTGTATTTAGAAAGACATATACAACATTTTGCCTCTATGTACTGGCATTATCAGCCAGAGGTTCCCCGTAACAACATGGTTTATTTTTTCAAAGTTTCAAATGTAAGCCTCTCTAAGTATACTTAGACTTTTGCCTTTCTGCGAGAGTAAGACAGAAAGAAGAGGGAAACAGAAAGCAGGGAAAATAGCGGTTAAATGAGCTAATTAGTTTACTGTTGCTAACCTCATTTCTGTGCAAATGCCACACACTGTTAGACACTTTTTAAATAAAAGTTGAAAACAGGCTAATGTAAAGAAGTTTCTTTTTTGTTTCCTTTCAAAGCAAGAGCATCAGAGCAAATAAGCTAATATGAACTTGAAACCAGTCTGTAAATCCTGTTTCCTTCCACTCAGTGAAATACTGCAGTCCACACAAAACAAATCAAGCAGCCTAATAATGAAATCTGAATCCTTTAGTATTACACAGTTCATCACTACAAAACCCAAAACAACATGAACAGAGATAGTTAAAAGTCACTTGTAATAACTATGCCACAACAAATTGTTAATAAAGATAACGCTTCACAAACCTGAGCAGGCATTGCCCGTTTTTCTTCTCCTCCTGTAGCCTTTTTCTGCCTCTCTATCCGTTGCCTTGGTACAGGAGGATCAGACTTGAAAGATCCTAACCTAACCGATATAAAAAGAACATATATATGGAAATATATTTTACATTGTATGATAAGAAATCTACATACTGAGCAGTTGATCTCCTCCTGATAGAAGTGCAAAGTAATGACCGATATCTAAAAATATCATGATACCACATTTAGAGATTTCTATAAAGAACCATCCCCAGAAGTTGCTCCCAATATGTCGACAGCCTCATACCAGAATTAACAACAGATGTATAAAATTTGATGCAATTACTCCAACTTTTTTTTTTAACTGAAAGCTTTAAATCTACTTTTCTTAAAGCTAGTTAAGAAATTAAACAGAATATATGGCTCATATCCTCAAATATCTCCATTTGAATTTATTATAAACTTTTCTGCCTGAAAACTCTCTCCATAAAATATTTCTCTCTTTTTCATCTATTGTTTAATTTCTGTAAGTTCAGGTTTGGAGTAAGCTTTTTTTTAAAAAAAAAAAAAGCCACACATTTTAAAAATATAGTCAATCAATAGAACATTCAGTACACTAAGAAGAGATCCAAAGCTTCTCAATAAACAATGTGAGCATAATATACATGCTAGATTTATGCACTTTCTTGAAATGCTTACCTCTCTCTATTGACTACATAAGGAACTTAGGCTCCTAACTTTGATTGCCTTGAATCTCCACCAAGTTAGATGCCTAAACGAGAGAGTGTGAATTGAGACTCAACCCAAGTTAGTTCAGCCAGTAGCCAAAAAATCTGCAGCACCTATTTTTCCTTATCTTGGGTGAGTTGTGACTGCTCAATTTCAGAAGTCACAGACTGACCATGAAAAAAACCTAAACTCAGGCCTCAGACAGGAATAGATGGAGTCAGAAATAAGTGTTCTTTTCCTAAACTGAGAACTACACTTTATTATTTAAAATTAACACTCTGCAAATATTCACACATCCTCCATCAAAAGAAGCCCATCATTACTTAAGATGTCAAAACGCAACTAATGAGAAAAAAAGTCTTTCTTGCAGTCAGTTTTGTCTTAAGATGATAAAAATGATTGAAAAATATACTTATCATTTAGAGCTTACAGCTTTAAAGTGCAAACATAAGTTTGAAATATCTCAATTAGCTATCCAACGTTAAATATCAGATATTGCATGATCAAATGATTATATTCAGTAACTTTGTTACAATTACAGTGATACTTATTGGAGGGTGGAACAAGTGTAAAAGCATAGACAACTGAATAATATTCTATCAGCTCTACTGTGGATAATTTAATTGAACTAGATCCTGCTATTCTAGGCTGACTTGATGAGAGATTTAAATTGGAGCACTGTGTATATGCCAGGTGACTAAGGGTCATTTGACAGCAGCTAAAAAGGCTCCTACTAAATGGGTTGCCTACGCATAAGGAGAGATGATGTTGCTTCTACATAAGGCCACTTGCCGGTAATCAGGTGATTTCTTCTGAAGGCAGAGCCAGAAAGCAAGATTCTAAAAGACAACCCATTAACACAGACGTACAACAAAGAACTGTTGGCCTCTTCATGATAATACAATCATCAGATAAAAGATATAGACCCTGAAGGACTGACCTTCCATAACTGTCTGGGAAAGAAAGAAAGAAAAAAGAAAAAAACCCGAAAGGTTCCTCTATTCATGATTCTGGCTGCAGCTTTGCACAGGGAGAGAAAGATGATGGAAGAGTCAGCTTTTAAAGGAAAGAGGATCACTTCTACTGGTTTTGACCTAGAACAGGTAAATCAAGAATACCTTGCTATCTCTACTAGATACCAGTGATATTATTTTGTAGTCAAGCCAAATCAAAATCAAAGAGAGAAATATGGAATATTTTGGAGACAAAGCATTCACTGTACCATAAGAACAGAGACCACACAGAAGTTCTTGTTGACACTGTGTGACCCCAGATTAAACTCTATTCAAGACCAGGGCATTAAAGATAAGAATCAATTAAGGCTATTAGCTTGTGCTGCAGTATATACGATTTCCTTAAATAAACTTACATATAGTGAAAAGAAGGTGCTCTTCTGAAGTATTTTTCTGTTTCTTCTCCCAGTTTATGCCAGGCATTACTAGGTAAATAGCCACCTGAAGTGCCCTCAGAATCACTATCATTTTCTTCTACTTCTATACGATTTATACCCATGAAGGTTAGCTACAAAAGAAGAAAAGCTGCAATGAAAATTCACTTAGAGAAAAAATCAGTAAATACAGTAATGGTGAAATACTGTATTACGGTGTTTGTCCTGCTAGATTAGTATTTAATATCACTGCATAAGAACCTTGACTTTCCTGAATACATTGTGAAAACAGGAAAACACTCACATACAGACTTCTTGTGTTCAGCAAGCATCAGCAAGGAATGAAAAAAAAAAAGCTATAGGTAAATAAAACTGCCTATATTCCAATAGAATTTCAATGACGTATGAAGTAGCAAAGCATTACTTAAATTGCACTATAAAGATAAGATGTCTCACAGTTTCTGAACACCACACACTTCCAGGAAGCCTAGCTCCTCAAATACTGTAAAAAAGACTTATTTGGCTCAATCCTGCATCTACCAATCCAGACTTCCCCAGGAAAAACTTGAATAAAACAATTGAAATTCATGGGGTTTTATACTGCAGAGCTCTAGACTTGACCAAAGGCTCAGACTCCTTATTAATCTGCTGTAACATAAAAGAAAATTTTCACGGAGAAAAAAAAAAAGTCTGCTTCAAAGCTTTTCTGAACTGACTCTTCCACTCAGTCACAGTACAGAGACAAACACGTCAAGTCTAAAAGCGTGCAAGTAATCCAAAGTCCCATTTCATGTCAGTGATGCAGGGCCTTGAGAACTCTATCCTAAAACATATAAGGCAGTGGACAGGATAAAGAAACTACTTAGCTACTGAGGAACTACAAAACAGTGGGTATTAAAAAAGCGCACAGTACTACCCTAAGAGCACGAACTGACTGCACTGTGATAAAGTAGCAGCAATGCAACAATGCAAGGGTGGGGGTAGCTGCGTGGCTGCATTTTAAGTTATATTTTCCCCTATGCATAATGGAAATGCTTAATACACAGTTTAAAACAATGAACAACACTAACCAGAAAGTTAATTGAAGAAATTCATAGGAAGAGTGTTAAATTCCATCAGATCTGTCATGTCCTGCTGACAATCTCAGGCTTTTATTTTATGATTCTGTAACAAATAGGGCAAACCTCTAGCAAAATTGTTGGCAAATTCAGAGTCAGGAACTTACCAAGTCTTCCGCAAATGCTAGTGAATCAAATGCTGTCATCTCAGAGCGCAACTCATTGGCCTTCTCCTTTCCTAGATTTGATGCTAGGACCAGAAATTGGGCATCCAGCGCAGCCTCTCGTGCACAGGAAACTGTTACAGAAAAGATTTTTATGTTAATATTATGAAATTGTAAAAAAATAATAAAATTTAGCATATAGACTATCCTGGGTATTGAGCTTTGTAAACCATTTTATTGCAATGACCTGTAACACACTTACTTATATGATCCTTACAATAATATTTGCATTTTTAAAAAAAAAAAAAGGAGAGGATGACACTGACAAAGGCAAGCATGGAAAAATAACACATTATCTTAAAGAATAAAACACATTTTTCATTGATACGTTTTCCATCTCTCCAAGTGAAATGCACCCCTCTACACTCATATCTTTCATAAATGTACTACTTACATATATTGTTCTACAGAGTCAAGATAAAGCACGAAGTATTTCTAAGTGCAAATAAACACTAAAGTAATGGTATTTATTTCCCCATATCACCTTATTCAAACAATTCCTCTTCAACTGAGCATATCAAATTTTACTTTAATAATTCTGATAATGTACATGGACTTCAATTTCATTCTCTTGCCCTTTTTTGTTTATAAGGCATCATTGCCTCACACTTGGCCAACTGTCAAGCAAACACCTCTAATAAGGACCACAGAACTTGTTTTACCTCCACTAAACAGTTTATTGGCTTCTTCTAAGGCTTCCGTCAGTCTGTTGCTTTTTGAACTCAGCATATCCTCACGATTTTCTGTGGGATAGGGACACAAATGAAATCCTAAATTACTTAAATATAGAAGCATCAAGAAATACATACTTACACCTTAATCAAAACTGGCTGGTTCATAGCCCATCATACACACAAAAATACAGAATATACTTACAGTACATTAATTGCAAGAGTACATAGGCTCTATTTTTATTAATGCTTATGCACCAACTCAGTTTGAAGTAGTAATTTTCCATTTACTTCAGTGGAATAAGATTTATATGGTTGAATTTATGTTAGCACATCCCAGATTCCTCTTGGTTCCAGTAAAATATCTGTATCTGTGGCAAAGCAGCTACCAGATACCATAGTTTTCTGTATGTTATTCATCTTATCCATAAGTTATTACAGATCTTCACAAAAGAAACCAACCAACCCCCAAAAATGTATGCTTGGTGATATCTGAAGATCACCATGTCAAACGCAGTTACTTATACATAACAGCACACATATGACTTAACGAGGCTTTCAGATGTTCAATTCTGAACAGCGACTCATAGCACTGCTTTTAAGGACCTACACCGTACTCAATGCACTGACATACCACTGTTGGTCTTCTGCATAAACACAGGCTGGATCATCCATAAACTGCGTTGTATTCTCTCATAAACAACCCTACAAATTTAGCATGTATGCAGAAAACAACTAACAGCACATGTTGCTAAATTTGACAGCACTTACTCAAACAACCATTGTTATGCTTTCATGAGGAAAACAGCACACTCCACACACGGGAGAAGTACTGACACACCCACCTAGAGAGATGCTAAAAATCCCATGGCACTTTCTGGAAAGCCTAAGAATAACTTTCTGGTACGGGCGGATACTGGTTCCTGCCCTTTCAAATGAAAGCTCAAATACCACGAAGGCAACATTAAAGGCTTTCAGTACACCTCCGGGTCTAAAGCTGATCGTTCCCCTGCATCCATGCAGTCACACACGTGAAGTGCCGGTAAATCCCTCACAACCTTGTCGTCCCTGGGCTTGCAAGTGCTTCCAGGGAGACCAATTTCGATCTAATCACAGGCCCAAGATTTCAGCACTCCGAGGAACTCAACGAGTGCCCACGAAAGCTTTAGCAGTTCCTCAAAAAATATCTTCAAGCTACCAGCCCGGCACCTAAACGGCTGCCCCGGCCCCCCCCCCCGGCACCCCCCATCTCCCCGGGATAAAGAGTCATCCCCGCCGGAGGCGAAGCGGGCCGGCCGCCCCGGGGCCGGGCAGAGGCCGGCGGCCCTGAGACTCCTGAGGCAGCCGCACCCGGGCCTTACGCTGCACGCTGTAGATGAGCTCCCGGTACTGGTTCCGGATTATCCTCCTGCTGCGGTCATCGCCGGCGTCCTCGGCGCTCTCCGGCGGCCTGGGCGAGTCGCCCGCCGCCTCCAGTTCTTCTCCCTCCTCCCCGGAGGCCGGCAGGCGAGGGCGGCTCGACAGGCGTTGCTGCTGGTCGTGCCGGGGCACGGCGCCGTTGCCCGAGGTGGACGGCAACGAGAGGCGGCCGCTCTCCGCGCCCGAGCTCTGCGAGGAGAAGAGATCATGGCTTCCGCTCGCCTCCGACATCGCTGGTCGGCGCCCCGGGCCTCCACCAGCCGCCACGGAAGAGGGGCGGGA